GGTGTCTAAAATAATATTAGCGTTAAAAACTTGGTGATATTTTGAAAATAATTACGTTGTTATAAATCGTTTTTTTGTTGAAAAAATTTGCAAATATTAAAATATTTCAAATTCGCATAGTAAAAGATTAAAAAGAAAAATCAATATGAATTTTCATTAATTTAATTTTAAGTACTGCAAGGGGTTATATATTATTTCGATCCCAAAACATGCGTATATAAGGTAAATTAAACTAGTGCTATAATTGAAGGACATACAGATTTTAAGGTTAGAGATTGCCAAAATTTCAAGTTTTCCAGGCGTTTTCTGTAAATTAATATTCATTTCTAATTGAGTTCATGTCTAAATTAATTTTGAATAATTGCCTCCAAAAATTCAAAAAATTAAAATAATTTAATAATTCTATGTTTAAAAAAATTTAAGAACTTTTTAACAATGTATTATTGGTACTATAAAATATTTGCTATATAATAATATTATAAAATATAATTTCATATGCTTAATAACTTATTTTTCTTTTTCCTTTTTCTTTGCAAATTAAATGGCAAATATATGTTAATCAAAATATTTGTATATTATTATTAAATTCTTACAATTAATAATTATTAATTATATATTTTTTTTTATAATTACAATTTATTTATATTTAATCTCTCTTTTACTCATCGTCGCATACTTCAAAAATAAATTCTTCTTAAGCAATAATTTCTATTAATTTTATAGTTAACAGCATCTATTTGAATAATATGTGTATATGTAAATATATATATGTATATATATCATGCACATATAATCATAGTATATTAACACATTATTGATTTTCTTTCATAAATATACATAAAATTATATTTGATAATTTAATGTAATCAGATATAATAATAATTGTACTATCTTTACTTTTGTATGACACAATGACAAATAAATCCTTTAAATTAAATTTTTAGAATTTAATTTTAAGGTGCAATTTTTTTGAATTCTTAAAAAATATTCGATTTAAAAAAAAAATTATTTAAGTCTTGAGCTTTTATTAGCAGCTTTTTTTAGCAACATTATTATCAAATTTTTATTAGACTCGTTTTATGAAAATTTTTCAGAAAATTTGTTTTTATCAGAATTTAGACCTATTTGCGTATTGATTAAATTTGATATAATACCATCAAAATAATTTTCTATATACCCATGCACATATTATGTATAGAGTGTAAAAGAGTATGTCGGTAATATATAACATGATATCTTAGGAAAGGTAATAATATTTTGCTATATATAAATTAGAATCTGTTCACTGTTGTATTTAAACTCTTTGAAAAAATCGCTGAACCGATTTTGAAAAAATTTACAGTTGTGTTTGTTTTTAAAGGTGTTTGTTTTTTTGGATGTTCAAAACCGAGTTTTTATTCAATTATTTCAAAATTACATAAATTTATATCAAAATTTTTAAATTTTATTATTGTCTTCCAATTGTGCATTTAATTTGCAATTGATTTTATAAATCGACATTGACACATAATGCAAATAGTTGTAAGTCCGAAACTCTTGCCGATTACATTTTCTTTAATTAATTTAAAATGTTGGAATTCTTAAACAAAATTAATTGAATTTAGAATACATAACCAAATTCAAAAAGAAAAAGTCTGTGACACACCCTGTAAAATTTATGTAAAACAATGTACGTAATTAATAATACAATTATTATTATAATACAAATATTCTTATTTTAAATACCATAACATTAAATCATCACTTTTAATCTATATTTATTTTTTTAATTTAATATTATTTAACACTATTTTTTTTATATACGTCTCCTAATTACTTGATAAAATTTAGCAATTTTTTTTTTCCCGGTACATAAACTAATTAATAATGATTGCGTATATTTCAAAAAAAAAAAAAAAAAAAATTATTCAATATTAAGTAAAAATTTGATAATTAATAAATTAATTTTAAATTAGTATAATAATAACTTTTAATTAGATTAAGTTAAATCAAATTGAAAATTTAATTGAAATAATTTTTATTATAATAAGGTAAAAATTCATGGTTTTATGGTATGAATTAGAGAGGTTCTATTATATACAAGTAAAAAAGAAAAGAATAAAAATAATTTTTTTTTTATATTAAATGCTAATTTGTAATTAAAAATTGTCAAATTTTATAATTAATACTAATATAAAATTATTTAATTAAATCACTTTAATATTAAAATAATAAAAAAAAATATCTAGTCAAATTATCGAAAATCAAAATTTAATTATAAACCATTAAAATTATCAAATATGAAATGTTAATCTTATATTTTAGAATTTTATTTTACAAATTTTTTAGAGTGTATACTTATTTATTTTGTTTTTACAATTAATTTATAAATAATTTTGATAAATAACACTATAGTCGTAGACATTTTAACACTGAAAAATTTCATAGTTTTCATGAAATGTTAAGGTATACATAGGTTTAGGTAAAATTTATTCTTATGTAGGTGCAATGTATGTTTTTCATTTTAAATATTGTGGTAATTTTTATGAGATTATGAAAATGTGAGAGTTCGACTAACATATACATATTACGGAAATGTGTTTTTTTATAGAAAATTTTAAGATTTAATTTTTATTATCAGTAATCATTAATCAGTAAGCTATTTTAATTTATTAGTGTCATTAATTTAAGAAAAATTTATCTGGAATTTTAAAGAAATTTAATAAATTTTAATTTGAAGAATAATCTTATAAAAATTTTTAGTGTATCCATAAATATATAGACATTTGTGAAATGAAATCGGAAGAATTATATATTCTGAGCTGCATTATGCATATTCTTAACAGTACTGTATTCTGGAAGTGAATTATAAAAATTGAATGCCAATTTTCAAAAATTTTTTATTGAATGATTGAAAATATTCGATAGAAATAGGTAAAATATCAATTCAAAAATTTCAAATTGAGTATATGCGACAAAATACACCTACGTATTATTTATAGGCTTGATTTTTTAGAGTTTTATAAAAATTTTGAATTTAAATCTGACTTGAAATGGGATTATGTTCGTTTTATAGTTATTTTTTGCAATTGCACTGAAGGTTTCCTTCATTAAATGACTTATAATTTGAAGTTTTCTTTAAATGAAACTTGTTTTCATTGCCACATTTATATTTCTTACTTTGGGGGGATTTGTAATAAACAGGGAGAACTTTATAACAATATTTTGCGCTATATGGTTTTTATTATTATTATTTCTTATTTTCACCAAATATTTTCCTGTAATGTGAATTAAGACTGTAGAATAAAAATTTTTTATGTACACAAATATGGAATAAATATCTCAAATGAATTGAATACTAATAAATGATTACTAATAAAATATTCTGTTGCATAATTTTTAAAAGTCGGTCTATATTTTTTTATACTATATAATTTTTAAATATAAAAGCTTACTGTACAGAAAGAGAATATATGATATTTTCAGTGCATATATATGCTTGTATCTAAATGTTATATTGTATATCCTTGCTTTTATTACTATATATTTGAAGTATAAATTAATTATTATACATTATATAAGTATTAATGATTTCTATTATACATAAATATCTTAATTGAATTTATATGTATATGTAAGTGTGTAATATATTTTATATGTACAAATAATATCATTTTAAAAATAAATCTCTGAATTTTTTGTACAACAACATATGAACAAATGAAAATATGAAATACGAAATAAAACTGCTAATTGTTATTAAATACAAGATCTATCACGTGACTAAAGCGCCATCTGCATTAAACATAATTTTTTTTTATTACTTTTATTCTAAGCTATTCAAATGTTTTTTAATAATTATTTTTTTTTTTTATTATCTAACACATTTTATTATTTATTTTTATTTTGTTTTTACAATCCTATAAATTATATTTATTAGTTTTAATTTATAATAAAGTAAAATTAATATTTAATAAATAAAATGGTTGTTTTTTATTAAAATAGGTATTTAATTTTGACGAGACAGGAAAATGCAGAAATTCAAATAAAACTTTTTATAATTAAACAAAAAAAAATTTATGTAGTTCTAATATTAATTAATAATATTTTTTTTTGTTAATTGTACATAGAAAGTTTTATTATACTAATTTTAAATGAATAAACAAAAAAAACTAGTATTATATTTTAAAGTACATATACAATATTGGCAGAAATTAGACAGAGCATTTTCTAAATATGTATATGAAATTTAATCGAAAATTTAAATTAAAATTTGATTTTTTGTGTAATAATTCTGTTACTGTTTTAATTAATTGTTTTGAAGCGCCTCCATATAATTTTATTCTAAAAAACAATTTTCATACTCTTATGAATTTATATTGTTAAATTTTCCGAATTTTCATTAAAGAAAATGTGGAAGTAGTAAAACTATATTAAAGGAGGCAAAGCAATTTAAAAGTCCGAATAATATGAAAATTCGGTAAATAAACATTCTTTAAAACCGAACAAAATTTATAGCCGCTAAGCATTTGGGAAAATTTCTACACGAACAAAAATTTCAATATATTCATTCATCCGGTTTTTATTCTGTTATTTAATTTTGTTTTTCTTTTTAATTCTGAAATATCCTTTTTTCTCTATAATTTTTTTTTTCACTATAGCATTACGAGTATTATTATCATTGTTATATTATTGCGTGAATTTATCAAGGTTTTAAATTATAATGTACGCATATATAACAAATTATATATAATAATTGCTATGTGTTATATATACGAACGTATATAGTTCTATTATATATATATAGAGAGAGAAATGGTGAAGAAATATCCTTGAATATGCAGTAAAGCGCAAATAATTAGAAAATTTCTAATCAATTTCCATTCATTAAAGGATAATTCTTTTTTTTCTTATTTTTATTTTTTTATAGCCCTTTTTTATGTTATGTATAAATTGTGTAAATATATACACGTATATCTACATATATTTACATTGTGTAGAATATGTGCATAACAATTTTTTAAAAATATTTGTATGTGATGTTTAATGTTTTCTTCCTTACAAAATTTTCAAATATACATACATTTTTTTCTTTGCTTTTTTTATCGTATTTTTCTCTTACATTATAACAAAAATGTTTTTAGAATGCTTAATTAGATTTATAAATGTGTATATGTACGAAAAATAAAATACAATAGTAAAAAAAAAAAAGAATAGAATAGAAAAAATGGAAAACAAACAACAAATACAACAAACAAATTCAAAAAAAAATTAAAAACGATTAACCTATGGGTCCGATTTTATTATTATTTCTTTTTTTCATCCTTCATCCTTCCTTTAAATATTCATTGTATGTACATATAGTATGTATGTGCCGCTAGGTTGTAATCTGTATATATAATAAACATACATTTTCTATATGCATAATGAAAATATCCTTGTATATTCAGTTATATTTTGTTTTACTTAAATCTCGGACATTTGTTTCCGGAGATCATCTAACGAATCATATGTATCAAAATCATCACAGTGTCTTCGGGACGATGATAAATTATGGTGTGGTCGTGGCAATGAAAGGGGTATTGGTAATAGCTCTGGCATCACTGAATGATGTGTAATTAAAGCTCGTAATGAAGAAAATTCCTTTGTGAATCCCTATATATATATTGAAAGCGGAAGAGAATAAAGAATATATATATATTATAAGAATTTAGAGATATAAAAAAATAACAAAATAAAAAAAGATAATTTAGATTTTGAAATTCGTTCTCTTTTTTCCCTTTTTCCTGTTTTAATTTAAATAAATGAAATAAAAGAGAAAAAAAAAATGTACAAATAAGAAATAAATTTGTTAATTTTTAATTTTCTGTAAATAATTAATTGAGTTTAAATAATTAGGTCGTGTGCAAGGATTTAAAGATTTTCATTTTAAAATTAATGAAAATCATTTATTATTGTTATTTTTTTGTTGTTCATCATTTCTCTGCTGACGTGTTATTTTGATTTGTTAAGGGGGTGTTGAGTTTCTTATTTAATACCTACATAATGTAGGTATGTGTATATTATGGTTGATATAATTTCAAATTGCTTGTGGTTGTTGATTATGGAAAAATTCCATAAAATTTTCATGAAAAATTCATTCAAATTGAAATTTCAATTCTATCACTTTTCTTATATAAAACCCCTGTAATATATAAACGGGAAAAGTGGTGAGAAATTTTTTTTCGGTATAAAAAATATTTTCTTTTTTATTTTGCGGAAAGTTTAAAAAACTCTAAAATTTTTTTTTTGTTTTGAAGAAACTTTATAATAAATAATATGAATAATACGTGAAGTTTCAAAAATGAAAAATGTATGCATATGTGAGCAAAAACAGTAAAAAAACACCTAAAGTAATATAAAATATAAGATTTTCTAATTTCTCGAAAATGTTATGTGGGATGTCTCAAAACTTTTAAAAATTTTAAAATTTCGGTATTTCTAAGGCGAAGCTTCTAAATGAAAAACAATTAAGTACAAGAATCTTCTACTATTTCACTGAGGCCATAAAAGAAGCTGTAATAGCCTGGCCATTAATGAAATTAAATATGTGGAAGACGTGCTTGGAAAAGAGGAGTTTTGTTTTTTGCAGAATAAGTCTTATCATTACCTCAACAATCAAACTATAATCTACAAGTTATTTTCAATAGATGTCAAAATTGTGTTTTAGTTTGACAAGATGGAGCGGTATAATAAGATTATTACAGCATGAGTGCTATATTGTTGGATTTTGTAAAGGTCTACCAACAACCTGATACATAGAATTAACAATAAAGTATGATATAGCAAATACATCAAGAATTCGATTCTGAGTATATGCTTCATAGAGTTATAATCGGTCCTTCTTGGTGTGCAAGAGTCGGCAGTGTATACAATATATGTATAAGCAAATATATAATATAAGCAAGACGTATTAAAAACTTAATTTATTGAAAAATATTTTTGTATAGAATCCAAATATGAAAAATATTTTCGTGACCACGGGTTAGTGGTAGCAAAATGGCACATTTTACATTTTTTAAACTATCGTTAATTTCAGAGTCTTTTGTTTTCAAATTTCATAAAAAAATTTAAAAATTAAAATTTTTTATGTTGAATTAATTTGAGATTTGTTTTTAATATTTCATAGATTTTTAATAAACCTGACCCGACCCTACTTGGTAAATTTGTCACCAATATTCGGAAACAAAATTTATTAATAAATTATTTAAAAAACGAGAAAAAAATAGAGTTGACCTTGTCAACTCTGTGATACCCGTACGAATTTGTTATCCTATGTGCGAATAACTAATGTGCCATAACTAACTAAGGGGCAGACTATGACTTTAAGTTGCCGTATTATCATATTAATTTATGCAAAATTTCAGTACTATGTGTTTTTCAAAATACTGTGTGTGCCAAACTACTATGAAGTTGTATGACAGCTACCAGAAAGAGCCAAGAAATTTTAGCGAATTTTATCAAGCACATCGGCCCTACTAATATATTCACTTGTGTGAAATCTCAATATCACAGCTTTTATAGTTTCTGAGATATAGCCAAATAACTTTTGAAGTTGTATGGCAGGTACCAGAAGGAGCCAAGTAATTTCAACGACTTTTATGAGACACATTGGCCCTACTAATATATTCGTTTGTGTGAAATTTCAATACCATAGCTTTAATAGTTTCTGAAATATAGCCAAATAACTTTTGAAGTTGTATGGCAGGTACCAGAAGGAGTCAAGTAATTTCAACGATTTTTATGATGCAAATTGGCCCTACTAATATATTCGTTTGTGTGAAATTTCAATACCACAACTTTTATAGTTTCTGAGATATAGCCAAATGAATTTTGAAGTTGTATGGCAGCTACCCGAACCGGTACCCCGATCATGTCCAATTTAAATAGGGTTCTGGCACTTACTACAATAAATCATTTGTGAAAATTTGGTGAACTTAGCTCAATTAGTTTTTGAGTTATCGTTCGGACGGACGGACGGACGGACGGACGGACGGACGGACGGGCAGACAAAGCTAAATCAACTCAGAATTTGACGCTGATCAAAAACATACACTTGAGTCTATATCTAAAACCGTTATTTCTTTGCGTTACAAACGGTAAGGCAAATTTAGTATACCCTTCGAACATACGTTCGTACGGGTATAATTATTACAGGAAAAATTGAATAAAAGCGAAAACATTTGGAGTTTTCTTGAATAATAAAAAATATTTTTGTTTAATTTTTATTGAAATTGCATTTGAATATACGCTTATAGCAAACTGCTTCATGTTTATATTGATTTTCATTGAATATGGTATACAAAATGCAGTTCTAGTTATTATTTTTAAAAAAATAAAAAACAAAATTCGGGAAAATTTTATATTGAATTCATATTGTACGTAAATATTTATTATTATTGTGAAAAAAAATATTAAGTTTAACTTAAAAAGAGTGCATAAAAAACAAAAATTATTTAAAAGGATTTTTGCAATTTCTTAACAAAAATTATAGTTCAGTAGAGTTTATTATAAAATTTTAAAAAGATGTCTTGAATATCAGAGGAAGGAGTTTTTCGCTTCTTTAAGAAAACATCATTTTTTATGAAAGCATAACAACTTTAAAATAGAAAAGATTTAATAGAAATTTTAACAAGAACGCAAACAAAATAATTTTTAGCATTTTTTCTTTATTGAAATTTTTAAAGAGGATTCTTTTCCTTCAAATATTAAGAAAAAACTTTAATTTATTTTGAATTTGAAGTGTAGTGTTTTCAAAAAATTTTTTAAGAAAATTTTGATGAAATTATGGAAGTATAATAAAAAAGTAAAGTAAAGTATTTTAATTTTTTTTACGCTAATTCACTATTTTTTTGTTCTTTGAAAGGATGAATGAATTTTTTTTTATAAAAATTTAAATAGTTATTCAAATTTATATTTTTGAAAGTTTGAGAAAAATTTATTAAAAAAAATTATTGCCTATTCAAATGAGAATATCGATATTTTATGTTGAGGCTTGAATTTAAATTTTATCTCTTCTGTAATATTAATTTTTAACATTAGAAATCCATATCGTCAGCAATATTTAGTCTTGTGTTGGGAAGACAAGCAATTAAACATTTGGCATTTGAGAATTATAAGTTCGTTTCTGCTCTGAATTTGTTGTCCAAGCATATTTCAAATTTTCAATTGGATTATATTGGAAATTCTTATGGAAGTAGAACCTTTTTACTTTATTGCCCATTCTATTTTTAAATTATCAGAAAATAATTATTCAAGATTTTAATGCCGGAAATTCTTAAAATTTTGGGGAAACTACCATAATTTCGAGAAGATAAAAGATAATTTTTATTTTCATTATAAAATTTTCACGATTTTTCTAAGAAAAAAAAAAAATTTTTTTTCTCTTTTATTCATGTAATAAAAATCAAATTCTTTGTTGCTTTCCTTCTCTACATTTCATTTTTATTAAGAAAGAAGAAAAAAAAAGTTTCTATGCTCCACTTATTTTTTTTTCTCTCTTTAAACACCCAACAGAAATAAATTAATTACCTAGAAAATACATTTTTAATTAAAATGAAAAGTATGGTAAAGACAAAAATAACAAGTAAAAACGTTTCAGTCGGTATAAACCGATTGAATTATACCCTGCACCTTTCGTTATTGTGTAGCAATTACTTGAACCTCTAAAATCATTCTATAGAAACTTCACGGACATGTCTGACCCATAATTGGACATCCGACTGCCAAGTTTCATGAATCTGACCTTATAATTTTTCCAAATATTTAAAATTAGCTTTTGGAGTTGTATGGTAAGTACCTGAACCTGCCAAGCAATTCCACCAAAACTTCACAAATATATCAGATCTATAATCGGACACACAACTGCCAAGTTTCATGAATCTGACTTTATTATTTTTTCAAATATTAAGAATAAGCTTTTAAACTTGTATGGGATCTACTCGAATCTGTTAAGCAATTCCACCAAAACTTCAGAAATATATGTGACCTATAACTCGACATACAACTGCCAAGTTTCATGAATCTGACTTTATTATTTTTCCAAATATGTAAAATAAGCTTTTGGAGTTGTATGGTAAGTACCCGAACCTGTCAAGCAATTCCATCAAAACTTCACAAATATATTTGATCTATAATCGGACACACAACTGCCAAGTTTCATGAATCTGACTTTATTATTTTTCCAAATATTAAGATTAAGCTTTTAGACTTGCATGGGAGCTACTCGAACCTGTCAAGCAATCGCACCAAAAATTTAGAAATATGTCTGACCTATAATTGGACACACGACTGCCAAGTCTCATGAATTTGACTTTATTATTTTTCCAAATATTTAAAATAAGCTTTTAGACTTGTATGGGAGCTACTCGAACCTGTCGAGCAATTCCACCAAAACTTCAGAAATATATTTGAGCCATAATTGGACACATGATTGCCAAGTTTCATGAATCTGACTTTATTATTTTTCTAAATATTTAAAATTTGCTTCTGGAGTTGTATGTCAGGTACCCGAACCTGTCAAGCGATTCCTCTAAAACTTCAGAAATATATTTGACCTATAATTGGACACATGACTGCCAAGTTTCATGGATCTGACTTTATTATTTTGCCGAATATAAAAAATTTGCTGTTGGAGTTGTATGGCAGCCACCCGAACCGGTGCAGCTACCCCATTATAATTTTTAGAGCATGTGTAGAATATAATTGGACACATGTATACAAAATTTTATATTTATACCTTTATTAGTTTTTGAAATATTTAAAATAAACTCTTTGAGTTGTATGGCAGCTACCCGAACCCGTTGTCCGAATTAGTCCAATAACAATAGGGCTCGTCCTTGGTACAAAAGAAAAAACTTGTGAAAGTTTGGTGTCGATTGCATTATGCGTTTTTGAGTTATCGTGCGATCGGACGGACGGACGGACGGACGGACGGACGGACGGACGGACGGACGGACGGACGGACGGACGGACAGACGGACATGTCTAAATCGACTCAGAATTTTACGCTGAGCAAGAATATATATATATGTCCATACCGCAGATGACTCCTTCAAGTAGTTACAAACTCCATACCAAAGTTAATATACCCTTCACGAAGTGCAGGGTATAAAAAATAAGGAAAAAAAGTGGAAGATCCCAACATAAAAGCAGGAAATTCTTATATTTTTTTTCCTCTATTTATTTTTTTTTTGTAACCATTTATATATAATTATAATATTCTTACTTTGATTTTATAGCCTCTTGGCGTTCTAAGTATTAAATAATGTGCAACTTTTGCGGCTGGTGGAGGACAACGTAATGATAATGCAAAACATCCAGGTTTTGTGCTACTTTGTCGTACTAAAAATGCTCCAGGATTTTGTTTTGATAATACTTCTAATGATATTTCACGTGGTATACCAGCTTGAAACCATGGTGCACCTCTTAATTCATTTTGTTCAGCTAAACTTAATGTATCTATACGTAATGGTACTACTGTTGATGGTGCATACATTTTAGGACTTGAATTTGCTATAAACACACATAATAATAAAATAAAACAATAAGAAAAAATAAAATACATTTTGAAGGACATTTAAAATAAATAAGTAGAATATTAAAATTTTATATGAAAAAAAAAAAAAAAAAACTTATTTTACCACTACTTGTTTCTCTAAGGTACTTCTTTTTAAAATTGAATTCACTATGGCTATCATGATAATGTCTAGAATCTAACATTGGTAATGCTGTTAATGATTGACGACAAGAATCACCAAATTTACTAGAAATTATTTTATCTGGTTCACATATTGCTTCATTAACATAACCATCTGATGCTGTTCTAGATGGTGAACAATTTGTACCCGGTGATGAATGTATATGAACTAGGGGTCGACTATCTTCTGTTGATTTTAAAAATCCCATTGTTAATCGTTTTACCTAAAATTTAAATTAATATACAAAATATAAAATGAAACTCATATACAATGGATTTAAAGAAAAATAAATTTATTAATTCATGCCGAAGTCAATAGTTCAAAATTTACATAATGTAGAGACCTAATAAAAATATTGATGTATATTGAACAGTATGAATGGTTTGATTTTTGAATTTAAATGTAATTTCAAGTGAATGTTGTCCACGATTTATTATAACAACGATTGTCTATATCTTCAATTGTCTATACGTTCAATACTGTTTTTGAAAGCTGTAATCGGTGCCGAATAGTTCCTTTATACCAAAAATTTCATTTATTCCCAAAAACAATAATCTAGATAGCATTAATTTGTTTGGTATCTGACAGTTTTAAAATAAAAAATAAATGTAAAATAAAGTGCAAACCGAACTTTCAATAACATTTAATAACAGCATTTGGAAGCATGATGAAGTCTACTTTCTAAAGTCTCTCTGTGATCAAGCAAAAATTAAATTAAGTCGATTTGGTTTTCCTCTGATTGAGTTTTCCTTTCAGGAATAAACGGTTTCCACATACAGCAAATTTTTTGGGTTTTATGTGCAAGAATATTACGGAGACTAATTGTTTCGGTTTCTAATTTTTTAAATTTGTAATCCCTAACATCCAATTTATAAAATCTATATATGTATCCCATTTTATGGTAATTTTCAATTCAGATTTCAAACCAAAACTAGACTAACCTGAAGACTTTGTTCAGTGTATTCGTATATTATACTAATTTTCGGAAATTGTCTGCAACAAGTTCATCAACGTATTCTTTAAACCTTTATCTTTAAATAATTGTATTTAAAGATTACATAATATGTACATATATGCTTAAGTAGTAATTAAGGAGATTATAAGTGTAATTCCGTTCACAAAATAAAACCGAGAAAGAGATTAAAAGTTGGTTGAAAAACCATTTAGTTAATTAAAGATAAAAATAATAATTTAGAAGTTTATGTACCCGAAAAAGATTTTAAAATGATGCACAAAAAAAAAATATGGGGAAAAATTTGTAAGAAAAGAGTACAAAAATTTTTTTAACAGAACGTTTCAAGTTTTTAAAGTGAAATTTAATTCATAAAATCAAAAATTTTAAAATAAGAATTTTTTTTTTTAAATTTGGACCATAATTCAATAAAGTAGCATTTTAAAATGCTTAAGGGAATGCTACAAAAGCTCCCCAAAAAAAATTTTTTTTTCAATGCTGCAATAAAATTTCTTTTTAGCGTAATTTCTTTTCATTGAAGCAAATTAATTTTTTCTTTTTTGATCTTTTAATAATTGCAGAGTTCTTTATAGAAGTTCATTACCTTTTCTTTATAGATATAGATATGAATAGATAATAATTGTTCATTAGTGTATGTGAATAATGCTTTTGGTGTATATATTCATATATACGATCAAACATACACAAACGTCTATAAATTTCCACAAAAAATATCATTTCTTTTATATTTTCTATTTTTCCATTAATAATAATTGTTGCTTTTTATTTTAAAAAGCATGTATACATACGTATCTATATAATAAGAATGTGCAAGGACAATGGACAAAATCATTTATAAATTGAGAAAATATTAAAAGTCGGACTAAGTTGAAAACAAATTTTCATTCTAATTTTATCCCTATATCTAAAGGTAACACCTAAACGATATTGTTGTAGACATGTACATTTAGTTTTCATGTATAACGTATATACCTATATACCTTATACTAAAGAAGGAAGAAATCTTCTTATAGTACATAACATTTGAATAGGATCAAGGCCCTATTTCCTATCAAGAGGGTATTTAAGTGTGTTCACGTACAATTTTTTTTTTAATGTTTGTTGATTTTCAACAGAAGGTTTTTAGTGAAAAATAGTAAAAAGTATATGTTGAGATATAAAATTAAAATGTGAAATTACCACATAACCACCTACACCACAATTGTACATTATTAAAAGGTTTCAATTGAATTATATTTTACTGTTATCGAGTATTAAAACATAAAAATGATAAAGAAAAGAAAAACTAGGAAAACAAAATATAAATTAAAATCGAAAAAGAATTGCTTTTCTTCGAATTTTTCTTGTATTTGTGGCTTTTAAAAATTTAGTTCCATTTTTTCATCGGAATTTCTATTTTTATATTAGAATTTCTATTTGTTTTTTCTATTCTTGCATTAAGTTGAATATTTGCATGCAATTATTCATATGGTATTCTGTTTATAACACCAAACTATTTTATTTAAATTTTGATTAAATCATGACATTTCAAGAAATTATTAATATTAGGGCTCATTCAATTAATATTATGAATATTTAAATTTTTAATTCCTTATTAAAGTGGCACAGTTTGTCTTAAATACTGCATTTACAGTAGAGTTCTTGCAAAATATGAAACTAGCTCACAAATACTATTTTATATATCCAGGCATTAGAAGTGTATTTAAAACGCAACGACCTGTTATTTATTTGTGACTCATGTTTGCAACCCATTGTTGACGATTTGTGTATATTTTATATATGTGTTTTAGGCAACACATCAGTGGCTACGTCAATCAGTAAAAATTGTTTTCTTTACACATTATGCTTGGTTAAAAACTTATCTGGACATAACGGAAACCTCTGATGTTGTGTTAAGGAGATACTTCTCGTATAGGCGGGTTTTTTCAAAATTAAAAATTAAAATGAAGTTTAATGAGCACGTTTCTTCTAATTTAAACTAATTTTAAATTCCGAGTTTTCCAAAATATTTACACTTTTGCATCAGTGTATCTTTGTGTGTTATTCAAACAAGAAAATCAACTAAAATTATCTAACACCATTTTTCTTTCTTAATTTGAAATGTGCTTTTCTCATCATCCAGAATAAAATTCTTTCTAGTACAAATTTTCAATACAATTTTTTTTTTTTATATTTTATATAGGAAATTTTATCACATTTTCACATAATGTTATGTTGGCATTTACTTACATGCATAGGTGGAAGAAAACAATAAAATTTTCTATTTTATTTTTCCTTTTCTTATCAATATTATACTTAGAATGATACGAGAATATCTTATTTAGTACATGGGGTTGTCGGATTTTGTTGAGAAAAAATCGATAGATACTTTTAATTTCACGAGAATTTGTTGCATGAGTTTATTTTGTGTAAATAAATATGTGGGTTTTGTGTAATATTTATGCATTAGAATTTTCTGAGAAATATTTTTTCCAATATTGAAAGGTAGATAAATTAAAAATTTGAATATCCTTAAAGGGCGGTCCTTCTTGAACAATGATTTTGAATAGAATTTTGATTTTTTTTTAAATCTATAAAAGTGAACTTTGTATATTAGAACTCAAAGAATTACTCAGAAGAGGAAGGAAAGTTTTTACAGTTGGCATATTGCAGATCCAAAATGCTTTCCCACATTCGGTTGTAGAAATATGCTTTGCATTAAGGAATTGAGAAAAAGTAATTCTGTTTGATCTTAATGATTTTAAGTTGGGAAACAGTCAACTCGACGAGTGAGAGTCAATCGATTTAACTTATAAATATTTTCATTAATATTTTCCGTACGTATATACGGATGTATATACGTATATAACTTTAATCAGAATAATAGCTCAAATATAATAGCTCAAATAGCCATAATAGCTCAAATCACTACTGAACTTGCAAAGCTATGCTTATTATTTTTTACCGTCATTTGGATGATATTCAGTGCACTTTGTAAATTTAGCTTGTGTTGTGATGTGTATAGCTCATGTCCAACTATAAATTTAAAGCATACTCGTAACTTATAATACTCAGTTAACTATAACTTATAAAATGTACTGTATATTTACTTATATATATATATATTTACTATGCATTGCCATTTTAAAATGTTAATATTTACTTTTCGACACGAAATTCACATTCTTATGTTCATTGTACGTATATAACATATTTGTATATATTCATGTGTGTTATGTAGAGTGCATTAAAATAATCGAAATATTAAATTATTTTTTCAACTAAACTTGTTCAAAATATAATGGGTGATTTATTATATTAAAATGTTTTGAATTGTAAGTGTTTTTAAGTGGATTTTCATCTTTACTTTTTTATATGCATTTTGTGAGTTCAATTTAAGTTTTATGTTGCTTTTCCTGTTTCTTTTTTTTGTTTTTTTTGTAATTCTTTTTGTTTTCGATTTTTACTTTATATATTGAGTAGTATATATAAAACTTAACCGCAACAATTTCATTCAAAATATCCTGTATCCTTCTTTTTTTTTTAGAGTTCAAATTAATGGATTTCGATGATATATGTATGTATGTGCAGATTGTGTGTGCAGATATGTGTTGAATATAACAAGGAAAAAAATGTTACTTTTCTTTTGGATTTTTCTTTGAAAGTGCATGTATATATGTATATATATATATGTGTTGTTCTTAAAATAAAAGAAAAAGTTGTCACACTCTAAAAAAAAAGAAAAAAAAGAAACGATTAAATTTTTTTTTCCCACAAAATATACGCATACATACGTATATACATTTCTTAAAAAACTATTTTAAGTTTTTAAAAATCTTCTCCTTTGATACTTCTTCTCGACTTCATATAAAACACGTCAATTTTCTTAAAGTACACAATTATGTATACGTATATATATATCTATATATATAGCATTAATAGAATGCAAAATAAAAGTATATATGTATGCGTGTATTATGCTTTTTTGAAGGATAAAAATATTTAGAAGTTTAATGTTTTTTTTTTATTATTTGCTGTCTAAACTTTTCATTTTTAGTAAAGTGGCGTAACTGATGGGAGTATACATACATCATGAATTTAACAAGCCGTATATATATGCACGTGTACGGTGTATGTATATATGCTGCGAGATGCATAAATCGGAATAAAGGATGACGAAAAATTGTTCAACAAACTGAAAACAATTTAATCCTTTTTTTTTATTTTATATAATTTTCAATTTCCTTTTTTTTTGTATAAAATGTATATGT